GTTAAAACATTGCAGGGAAGACAGCCAAGGGGGCAGAATGCTGGCCTCCTCGGGCCAGAGGAATGGGGGCCTGTCCCTGAATACACAGGCTAGAGCCCCAGCCAGTGATGTCTACCCAGAGGCAGAAAAGGCCAAAAGGTGGCATCTCCGCAAGCATGTGGGTTCCAGGGTTCCCTTGGGGGGTGAAAGGGTCTGCAGCTGCCGATGAGAGCTGAAGCCCCAGAAAGGTGACATCCCTGTGGTTTGCACAGGGCCAAGTACAGTTACCTGACCCAAGTGATGCCTGAAGTAGGAATGCAGGAGCCACAGCTATCATGCCCTCCACACAGGAGGCAGTCCTGACCCACCACATACTCCCTCACTGCCCCTTTCCCTCGAGGGTGGGGTCCCCCAGGCTCTGTTTCCACGTGGGCAGCTCAGGAATCATAGATCAGGGCCCAGTTTTGGAGTTTTGCCATCATCCATCAGTAGGATGTAGTCAACTGAGGCAACCACTTGCTCTCCCACAGGTCTTCCCAGGCTTGCACTTGGCAGGGGGGGGGGGGAGGGCGGTGGTACAAGGAGAAAGCACAATCATAGTGAGATTGACACCAGACCATCCAGCTTCGGCAATAACATAACTGATCTTTTGCACTCCATCTGTCCCATGCCTTGTCTACTCAGCTAGTTCCAACATCAAAGTGACTTAAAGAGGATGGGGAACAGTCATCCTCCCCACCATGTAGGAACACATGCATACAAGACTTCAGAGATACTGGGGGGCTCTTGTAAGGCAAAAAGAACCCCACCTTCCAGGGAAAGAGTTGTTGGTAAAAAAGCCTGACAGTGTTGGCTGCTACTCCAATACAACCCCCTGCCCCCTCAAAGGTGAGACCTATGAAAATGCATCATCATCAAAGGATTACGTGAAGGATTACCCCACAAGGGACCCCTGGGACTCACATGCTTGTGGAGACACAAGAAGAAAGGAGACAAGGGACATAGTAAACACGGCCAACCCCGTCAGGTTCATGTGACGAACCAGCGGTGCTCTGCGAATTTTATAATAAAAGCAGAGGGAGAGTGTAATAATATTGGTAAAACAGAGAAAGGCTGATGAAAAGGATCATGGGCGTGACCTTGACACCTTAGAGGAAAAGGAGATGAATGCAAAGGTCTGCAAAGAATTAGGACTTGGGGAATGCAGGGACTTGGTGTCTTCATGTCTGTTTTGGGGAGAGCGTGGGGCTCAGCACACAGGGCTCCCTGCGTCTGTGGACTCTATACCTTGCACAGTTTTCCCCAGGAAGTCGCCACGCCTCTCCTTATTGATCACATGCTGATATATCTTTCCGGTGGTGATGTTGTTGTCCTTATAAAGGTTAATATCCAAGAATCTTTCATAATTTCCAAGATCTAAATCAACTTCTCCACCATCATTTAAGACAAACACTTCACCTAGGAATAAAAGGCAAAGGAAAAATTCAGAGGTTGTGTCCAACAGATTATTTTTCAGAAATGAGCACATTATCTTAAAGAGCTGATGAAAGGCCTGTATGCCGTAGTCTCTCATCCTTTCCCCATTCTGATGGGAAAAACTGACAATTCAGTTCCAGCCATGAAAACACACTGGATGGGACTGAATTGAACAAAACCCTATTGTGCTTTGTTAAATGTTTACTTAAATTCTGCTTCAAGGTTTTGCTTTCCCAAACTTACGATATACACACAAAAAGAGGGGTTTAAAACAAAATTTTAAAAATGAATAGTTTACTATAAAGTATCACTATCCTGGATTATCCATTTGGCATAAGCAGGTTTTCATGGATTCTCATCTTGGTTAAAGTGACAGACAGTAGCTGAAAAGCAGGGCAACCGTTAGTCCACAGGCCAACTTTGGGGAAAGTGAAGAGGGGAACAAAAGGCGCTCACAATAATTCATCAACAAACCCACCTCGAGATAAAAGGAGATGGAGAATAAAAATTTAACCACACCAGGAGCATTTCTGCTGACTGTGGATCTCCACCATCATGTGAGGGCAATGATTAGGGGTCGAATGTTCTAAACCAACCTTGTAAGAACTGAATTCTGTCTCTCTCATTTACTGCAATTGTTAGATGTTCCAGTGAAAAAGGTTAGCTTATGAACCTAATTGAAAACCTTTATATCTTCATTTTCATCTCCCTTAAAAGGTACTTAAGTGTGGTAGAAAGATCTTAGTTTCAAGGAGAAAGGAGTAAATTGACAAAACTAGAATATTTTCTTATTTCCTAAATTCTATTTCCAGTTCCAATTCCACTTTCTCATGTTAATCAGGAATGGCCAATCTATACAAAATCATTTTACTTCGCCTGAAAAATAAAGCAAGATCTGTGAAATATCTCTCGGTCAAATTCAGTTTGGCACTACTACTACATGGCAATAGTCTTGAAACTTTAATTCCTAAATTTTATAAAACATATATATACATCATGTTCCCAAAAGACAAAAATACACTATAGAGAAGGTGTTCCTTCAAAAACAGGGTTTTTTTTTTCATAGTCATTTTAATCAGTACACGTATGTATTTAATAAGTATCAGTATATTTCGAACAATGTAGTTAAAGCCATGTATTTTGAGCAATCGTTTAATAATTATTTATCATGTATCTATCACTAAATGGGTGGGAACTGGAGCTTATTAGAATGCCCAATAATGACAATAATAGCAATCAAGATAATAGTTCACATTGGTTGAGTGATTGGCATTTTGCTAAATGTTCCTCACAAATTATCTGGTTTAATTTAAAGCCATAATGATCACCTGAATTCTTATGATTACCTCCACTATATAGATGAGAAAGCTGAGGTTAGGAGAGGTGATGTGCTATGTCTAGATTCACACATGGGTATATCCTCATGGATTTGGCTCACATCACAAGCTCTTGTTTCTTGTGCTTAGAATCAGCCCTCCCAGGAGGTTCTGACTTGAAATACCTCTAACTTGCTTGCCTTTCTCTATCATGTCTCAGGTGCCTTCACACTCACCAGAGTCTGTTCTGTGTAAGTATTATACACTCTCCTCCTTTCTTGTTGCTTTCCTCTAAAAGGAGTTCCTGATTCCCAAATCAAATTTAGCCCTAGGTTGGTAGTTCTGAAAAAATGAGTTTGGATAATTTTGAAGATCTTTGGACAGGCAAGATGGCATCTTCCACCCGACTGCTTAGTTTTACAATGTTTTGAGTACTCTTTTGCTATGTCAAGCTTTTACTCCCATTTCCATCATCATCTCCTTCTGTGCTATGGCATGAGCCTTGCCTTGTGCTTTTCAGATGACCTTACTTCTTTCTCCTGCCCTTCATCTGGAAAATCTGTCTTTCCCCATTCTATAGATTATACCTACCCTCAGGCCCCACTTATATCAATGTCTTTTAAAACTTTCTGAATTTCTGATTCGGTACAATTTCCTTTTCCTTTGAACCCAAAGTACTTTGTCCACATCCTATTTATTAACAGTGGTGATGATGGGCAGGAAGAAGAAGGCAGAAGACAGAGCATACCATGTACATCACATGTATCATCTCACTTCATCCTCACAACCATGCAAGGATTATTTAATATTACTATCTTTTTTTTTTTTTACATCACTTTGTGCATTTTTCCATCTCAGTTGTAATCCCCGTGGACTTCCCATCACCAAATCACCCCTGTGCCATCACCATAGTCCAGTGCATTTCCCTCCCCCCACTGTTTTTGATCCCATTCCCCACTCCACCCTCATAAAATGTCTCTGGTATATAGCTGTTCATTATTATTATTATTTTCTCGCCTGGTCCATTATACTCCTGCTATGAGTGAAACCAAATGGTATTTTTCCTTTTCTTCATGGCATTTCACTAAGCATGATCTTTCCCAGCTCCAACCATGTTGCTGCAAAAGGCATGTGTTTATTTTATTTCTGATTGCTGAGTAATATTCCATTGTGTATATGTACCACATCTTTTTAATCTAGTCATCCACTTTCCGGCATCTAGGTTGTTTCCATGTCTTTCTAATTGCAAATAAAGGAGCAATAAACATGGGGGTGTGGGTATCTTTCTGAATCAGCGTTTTTGTTTCTTTTGGGTAGATACCTAGGAGTGGGATTGCTGGGTCATATGGAAGCTCCATGAAAAACAGGGTTTTTTAGACTTGAAAGACTAACAGATTTTTAACTAGACAGTGACAGTAAGGTTAATTCAGAAGAAAACTAGATGTGATTACCAAATCAAAGCACACACACAAAAATAAAAATAAAAGCCCTTATAATGAATAACAATGAGTAAAGGAAATTGAAATAGATATAAAAAACATATATGTGCACATATACACAGAATAAGGTAACGAAAAATACACAAAATCAAAACATCCACAAAGGTCCCTATTACATAAAGGAATTTACTATATAATATCAACAACAACAAAAAACCCAAAGTTATCATCCCAAATCAAAGTAGATAAAATGCTCTGAAATAATCTTCAAAGAAATGTGTAGGTACTTCTTGTAAAGTTTAACAAAAAGATCCCTAGATTAATCTTGAAGTCAATGAGACATGGAAGCTAAAAAAAGAAAAGGAATAATGAGAACAGTCCTGATCTACTGGGTGATAAAAAGCTGCAGCTATGAAAATGGTGGGCGGGACCAAAGAGATCAGTGGAACAGAACAGAAAAAGACAGACTCAAGTAGAGACAGAAATTTAGTATCTAATAAAAGGTGGCATTTCTGTTGTTAGTCAGCAGAAAAAGGATAAGATCTTTGACAAATGCCATTAGGAATAGTTGGTTCATCAGGAAAAAAAAAAAACATTTCATCCTCACTTCACATCAAATTAAATTCCAGATGTGATGGCAATGTTAAAGTAAAAGAAAATGCGGGCCCTCCCTGGTGGCACAATGGGTTAAAGCGCAGCACTGTGAAACTATCTACAGCCACTGCAGCACAAGTTCAATCCCCAGGATGGGAGCTGATCCACCTGGTGTGGCAGACCTCTTTTGACCCGCCCACTGCTCCCCTCAGCAGTGTATTCCTACTTCACTGCCTGTTCTGCTCCCCTACTCTGTCTCTGGTGACTCCTCTCACCCCCTGCACCTCTGGCCTATACCCCAACTCTGTATGCATAAATAAATAAATTAAACACGCGCACACAGTACTGAAGAGCTAAGACCTTAAAAAAAAATTTAGTATACACATCAAAACCCACGGGGATTACAATTGAGATGAAAAAAAAAAGTACAAAATGATGTAAAAATAAACTATTAAATTATAAAAAAAAATTAGTATGCACATCAAAATGTCACTACTTAGTAAGAGCCACTCCAAGAAGTGAGAAGTAGATGATTTTTATTTTCTTCTTGCTATTGTCTCAATTTTTATCTAACAATAAAATGTTAAGAAAATATATTATCTTTATGGTTAAATAAAGAAAAACATAAGTCATACTGCAAAATGGACAATGAAAATTATATCCTCACACACAGCTTCCCAAAGGGCTGACGAATTTGGAACGTCATCAGCAATCTGGAAAATGTGTCAACAACCACAAGAACATTCTCATATTCATAATGCAAGACCAGCAGCTCCACTTCTGAAATTACCCAAACACAGCTCATTTACCCAAGGGACAAAAAAGAAATGCAATTTAACCCAGAGCTTGAGGAGTTGGAGGGAGGGGTCTCTTTCATACCGTGCTCATAAGGTGAGAAAGTACCCGCGTCAATGTTAATATAGGGGTCAATTTTGATGGCTGTCACTCGGAGTCCACTAGATTTCAGAATTGTCCCAATGCTGCTCGCAATGATCCCCTTTCCAATGCCTGAGATGACCCCACCAGTGACCAGGATGTACTTCATTGGCAGAGGAGTGACTGGGTGCCTGCACCCAGATGTAGCCTGAAAGGTAATAAAATTAAAAGTCAAGGAAGAAAAACATTTTCTCAAAGTGGTAAAGCAAAGTGTGCTAAACCAGAACTTCAAAAGCAACAGCATTTTTCCATCTAAACTAAATAACTGAAGCTCAGAAATAATGTCACATCCAGGCCCTTTGCACCTACAGGGAGCTGTGGCTGACTGCCTTGCCCTGACCTTCACATGATTAACTTTATCATAAGAACTGAAACTTTTCTGGGCTTCAGAGTATAAGATCGGGTCCTGACAGATCTGTATAGGCTGTACCTGGACAAGTGACTTAAGTTTCTAGGCTGCTTCTTCGTCTGAGGAAAGAATGAAGATACCAATCCCTCAGGATATAATTCGGCACTAGGAAGAATTTAGCTATCAAGTCACGCAAAGACATGGAAAAGCCTGACATGCATACTGTTAAATACATGGATAGTCCTTATTTGTATATTGCTAAATACAAGCCAGTCTGAGAAGGTGCCTTTTCCATGGTCATGGAAAAGGCATGACCATGGCGAAAGTAAAAAGGACCATGGTTGGTTGCGAGGGGATGGGAGGAGAGGGAGGGATGAATGAGAAGAACAAAGAGGATATTTTAGGGCAGTGAAATTGCTCTGTGAAATACTGTAAAGGTGACTACAGATCGTTATACATTTAGCCAAGCCCACAGAAAGAACACCAAGAGCAAACTCGACCGCAACCTATGGACTTTGGGTGATGATGTGTCAGTGCAGGTTCAGACATTGTAGCAAATGTGCCACTAGCTCAGGCTGGTGATGGTGGGGGAGGCTATGAATTGGGCAGGAGGGATCAGTAAGTGTTGGGAGATCAATACTTTGTGCTCAATTGTGCTGTGACTCTAACATTGCTCCAAAAATAGCCTTTTTAAAAAATCAATATTCAGGGCTCTCCCTGGTGGCGCAACGGGTTAAAGCACGGCATTATGAAGCTCTACAAAGCCACTGCAGCACAAGTTCGATCCCTGGCCAGGGAGCTGACCCACATGGCATGGCAGACCTCCCTTGTATTGCCTGCTGCTCCCCTCAGCAGTAGATTTCAGTCGATCTGCCTGTTCTGCTCCCCACTCTGTCACTGGTGAATCCTCCCATCCCAAGTATCTATGGCCTGCACCCTAGCTCTTGTACATAATAAATCTTTATTCAAAAATTCCACTTTGCATTACTCCAGTTCACAATTAAAAATAAAAGACTTGGAAGGGCCTCCCTGGTGGCACAGAGGCTAAAGGCATAACACTAGCAAGCTATGAAGCATGAGTTTGATCCCCGCCATGGAGCTGACCCACAAGACACAGCAGATCTCTCTGTCTCACCCACTCAGCAGTGGATTTCAGGGGATCTGCCTGTTCTGCTCCTTATGCTGTCTCTGGTGAATCCTCTCAGCCCCTGCCCCCACACACACCTCTGGCTTACACCCCAGTTCTTGTATGAATAAATAAATAAATAAATCTAATAAAAAAGTAATAAAAATAAATGAATAAAAGACTTGGAAATTACACACGAACACATTTATTTGAGGAATATATCCATTCTGATTTTGCACTTTCCTCTCAAAACCACCTATCTTAAGGGTGTCCGTTCATCTCTCTGAGCTGTAAGTTTTGTTTGAATCAGCTTATAAAATAAATGAAGCACATAAAATGAAGTTATCCCTAATATCCACTCCCATCCCAAATGGCTTCCCTGAGCCCAGTCAGCAGGCCTGCCTTTCCCTGTACAAGATACATGACCACGTTCAGTGTCATGGTTCACTACAGACATAGACACCCACTGACTAGAGCTAGATTTGGCCTGGCAGATTCTCAGTTCAAACCCACTTCCAGAGCTGTCTGAATAGTCATCTCTCCACTCCTACCTTCCTAGCCTCCCTTCCTTGTTTTGCATTGATAAGTGCCCCTCTTCCTGAGTCAAGAGCCTGGGCTCAAATGCTGACTGTCACTTAACAGGTATGACCCTGAGCAGCGTCTTCAACTTCTCCAAACCTCAATCTTCTCCACCTATGTGGCACACAGAGACCAAAACCTTCTAGAAGCAGGTGGCCATTTACCAAGAGTGGCCAAGTGTTAAAGGTTAGCTCTTAGCAGCTGAGAGGCACCCACTCACTGAGTCAGTGGGTTCACTAATGTTTACTGGGTGTCTACTACATGCTTGACAGCGTCCCAGGCCCTGCAGATAGGGGGTGAACCTGTGCTCTTGGATTTCACCTCTCCTGTGATTAAGGGGGAAATAAGTGGGATTGTAATTGCGCTTCATCCTGGCACTGCCATACTCTTCAGATGAATCCCCTTTGTGAAAATTTCAAAACGGGCTCTCACTTATGGCACAGCAGCTTAAAGCACAGCACTGCAAGCTAGCCACAGCTGCTAGTTCAATCCCCACCCCCAAGGTGATGATGCACAGTGCAGCAGACCTCTCCTGGCCCCTCCTGCTGCTCCCCTCAGCAGTGTATTTGTCAATCTACCTGTTCTGCTCCTGCTCTGTCTCTGATGAATCCTCTCACCACTCCCACACCCTGGCCTGTACCCCAGTTCTGTATGCATAAATAAGTAAAATCTTTTTTAAAAATTCTAAAGGGCCCTCCCTGATGGTGCAACAGGTGCAAGCTGGCCACAGCCACTTCAGTGTGAGTTCCATCCCTGGCCTCGGAAGGTGATCCACATGGAGAGCGTGGCAGACCTCTCCTGACCCACTCACTGCTCCCTCAGCAGTGTACTTGGTTGATCTGCCTGTTCTGCCCCCCATTCTGTCTCTGGTGAATCCTCTCATGGCCCCTGCACCTCTTGCCTGTACCCCAGTTCTGAATGCATAAATAAATAAATCGTTAAAAAATTCCTACTAAAAAAAAAGTTTGCAAAATGAAAAAATGCCACAGGATACACTACAGCATGTTCATGTGAAGTCACTTTAAAAAGTAAAAAGATGAAGTTAAATCTAGTGGTATCTTCTTTAAGGGAATGATCCAACTCTGAGAAAACCCACGTATCTGGATACAGTAAAAAAAAAAAATTGGCTGCATTAAAAATGTTTTCAAGCCAATGTATACAAAATATCATTTTAACACAATATCGGTATTTGTTATGTGAGAGATTTCACTTTTGGATTTGGAGGGAGGAGGGAAGGAGTACTCAACCTTCTGAAATCCACCTCTTGATCCAGACTCCCACATTTCCAGGACAGGAGTCACTTGTGGCAAGTGGCCACCGCTCTGGAAAGTGCCGGCCTCTGAACAACTAAAAAACTTTCGCAGCACTAAGGGATACTGTCTCAATAACAGCAATTTTAAAAGCAGTGTTAGAAACAAAAGCGTACTTGCTGAATGATCTCATTGTGTAAAGTTCCAGAACAGGCAAAAAAAAAAAAACAGAAAACTAAGGTACAGTCGAAATCACGGGGTGGGGAGTTGTGGGTGAACTGGGAAAAGACTCCAGGGAACTTTCCAGGAAGACGAAACCAACCGGTCCCGTCCCGTCCCGTTGGGTGGACGTTACACGAGTGGCCAATTCATCCAATCTGCACACTGCAAACCAAGGTATTTAACTGTATGCAATGTACACCTCAAAAGTATAAAAAGTGTTGCAAAGCGAAAGCTCTTCTGTAGCTGCGGCGTCCTGGGGCACAGCGCGCCCTACGCCTCTTGTTTGGGAGAAAGGCGAGGGTCGGCGTCACCCAGAGCACTGGGCGGGGGAGGGGACCGAAAGGCCGTTTCTCTCCGCGCCCAGCTTCACTTCCGCCAACGCCATCTCGGGGCTCCCCAGGCTCCCGAGGTCTGGGCAAAAGGAGGCTGGGGGTGGGGGGTTGGAGTCGACCCTCGTGCCCCAGCAGAGCCCGGCGCCCGGGCGCCCAGATCCGGGGCGGGGTGCGGGGAAAAGTGCCCCCAGGGACGCAACGCTCCAGACCCCCGGTCACCGCAGGGCGAGCTCCGACGGCGCCGGACCCGGGCAGCGTGGCCCCACGCCCAGCCGCGCCCGTTTGGCCGCCCGGGGCTGAGTGCAGGGGAGCGGTGTGAGGGCCGTGCCCTGCTGCCGGCCCGGTAGACTGGGCGCGGGCGCCACCCCACAGGGGACAAAGGCGCTCGGACCCACGTGCACTACGGAGCTGGGGGCACAGGAGGGGGCGGGGCCCTGGGGAGCGGGGGACCTCGGCACCGACACCCCGGAGGCCCTAGGGCGGAACGCAGGCTCTGGGAGGCCCGGGGGGCGAGGGGGGGGGTTACCAGCGTGGTGGTAGTAGAGGCAACAGGAGAGTGGCCCGTGGGGACGGCGGGCTCCGCCTCGAGGCCAAGACGCTGCTCACCTGTCGGGTTGAGGAGGGGACAGCCGCTAGGGGTACCCCGAGTTGCCACCGAGTCCTCCTCGCCTCCCGCGCCGGCCTTGGGGTGCGATGCGCCTCCTCGCCCACCTTCCCCTCTCCCCCAGCTCTGGCCCCGCTGACTCACTCCGTGAGCTCGGGGTTTGCACCGGGTTTGTGCAAAGCTCCCAACCAGCGCTTAAAAAGTGATTCCTGCGGCGCAAACAGCCTCGCGTCACCCTCCGCCCTGGACGCTCTTGGCCCCAGGCCGCGCTCAGCCCGACTCCTCCTCCCCTCCGCGGCTCGCTGAGCACAGGCAGCTCCCGGACGCGCGGCGGACGCCACGTTCCCTGCGCGCCTGCAGCTGGACGAGCCCCTCGCACGTCCGGCTCCAGCCCGGGGGAGAGCCTCCCGGGCTGCATGCCAGGAACTGCTGGGGCGCGGAAGAGGGATCGGAGAAGTCACGGGTCCTGCTTGGAGGAGCTCACCGTCCTGTGGGAGGTTTGCGCGGCAGTTGAGATCTAAACTCCCATCGAAAAACCAGCCCGGGGCGGGGGGGTAGTCGGGGGAAGACCTTTAGGGCTTCATCCAGGCACACATTCACCTCGTTATATTGGCGGGGTGGGGCATTGGTTGTTCTTGTTTCTATTTTTGAAGAAAACCAATAAAGCAAAATCAAAACACCCACCACCATCCCCGATGACACCTGTCACCTTTTCCCACCCTCTGCCATCTTCACCTCTTGTAACTTCAGTGCAGGTATCTGTGTCCACTAGTTTAATTTTTATTTTGCTTTGTCAGTTCATCTGCTTTGTTTCTTTATATCCCTCATGCAAGTAAAACCATCCAGTATTCGTATCTTTCTAGCTGACCTCACTTGGATCATCCCCTTGAGTTCCTTCCATCTTGCTACATACAAATGGCAAAATTTTATCCTTTCTTGTAGCTGAATCACAGCCCATCCGGTGTGGCTAGACCACCTTTCCACCCAGCCATCCAGGTGGGTGATGAAGTTGCTTCTGTATCTAGCTATTGTAGAGAATTCCCAGACACCCAGTGACTTTTCAGGAGTATTTGGAGAATGGTGGGTGTTGAGAAAGGACACAGGACTTGATGAAAGTTTAGGGAGCAGACACAAACTACTGAAGGAGGACTCTAACTGCGGACAATAGGAGGACTTGGAAGGGTGAGGAAAAGAGTAAAAAAATGTTGAATAACCGGCATGAGACACACTACAGTGTCAAGCCCTGTAACAAAGTCAGATAGGTGGTACTGAAGACCGGCTGGAATCTAGAGTCCATCCTGATGTAGTGCCCTCCAGCTCAATAAAATGTTGCAAGCTATCTATAGGGGCTGCATAAACACAGATATTTAGGATAAAACCAGTTTCTGGTTGGGCTGAAGGACAAGAAAGGAAGTTAAGGACACTGGAAGAATGAGATTGTAGTCATGCTCCAGAGAGGGAGAAAGGGTCCCCGAAGCAAAGAGATGACAATAACAAGGAAGTTTAGGAGATTGTATGGCAGTTTTTTTAAAGATTTATTTATCTATGCATACAAAACTGGGGCACAGGCCAGAGGTGTGGGGGCAGTGAGAGGATTAACCAGAGACAGGGTGGGGAGCAAAATAGGCAGATCAATGAAGTATATTGCTTAGGGGAGCAGCAGTTGGGTCAGAAGAGTTCTGCTGTGCCTTGTGGGTCAGCTCCCTGGCCAGGGAACTGAAGCAGACTGGGGAACTGTCAGCAGATAGGCTTTAACCCATTGCCACCACCAGGGAGGGTCCTGTATGGCAAAGTTAATTGAGTTTCAAAACAAAAGGAGTTTCTCCCCAACAAGGATGACAGAGTAGTGTTGTGGATGAGGCTGTAAAGAGCTTCAGGTAGGGCCCTCCCTGGTGGCCCAGCTGGTTAAAGTGCAGCACTGCAAGCTAGCCACAGCCACTTCAGTATGAGTTCTATCCCCACCTCCACAGGTGACCCACATGGCTCAGGAGACCTCTCCTGACCCACCAGCTGCTCCCCTCAGCAGAGAACTTCCCAAATCTGCCTGTTCTGCTCCCCACTCTGTCTCTTGTGAATCTTCTCACTGCCCCTGCACTTCTGGCCTATACCTTGTTCTGTTTGCATAAATAAATAAATCTTAAAAAAAAAAAAAAACAGATGTGGGCCCTCCTGGTGGTGCAAAGGGTTAAAGCACAGCACTAAGAAGCTAAAGCTGCTTCAGCATGAGTTTGATTCCCTCCCAGGAAGTGATCCACATGGCTTGGCAGACCTCTCCTGTCTCTGTCTCTAGTGAATCCTCTCACCACCCCTGCACCTCTGGCCTATACCCCAGCTCTGTGTGCATAAAAAAAAAAAAAAAAAAAGATGTGAAGTGTGTTCAAAGTTACTGTAAGTAACAAAGCCAGGATATAGGCAAAATATCTGGCCCCAAAGTCAGACTCTAAACCACAAGATGTTGGGTTTCTCTTTATCTACTTCTACTAATCTATGAGACTAAAGGATGAAAGACATTTTGTGACTACAAGAAGGGTTGTTATAAGAACTACTTTGTTGTTAATCCAAAATGGGGAGGAGCACTCAGGGGATTGAGCAGAAAAACACATTTGATAAGGAGGTTCAGATTGAGGGTTTTCAGGGCAGGAGGACGTGTCCTCATCCACCAAGTGTTGATTCATGGCAGTCTGACAGCAGAACATCCTAGACCCTCCAGAAGACGAAAAAGTGATGAAAAGGAAGTCCCTTTAAGTTCTGTTCTTTTATAATCATTCTTTTGAAGAACTCTACCTTTCAAAGCTGTTCTAAAACTGCCAGTCCTTGGGGGAACACAGTGTTCACTGTGGTTTTGCCCCTGGAGATAAAGCAAAAGCAAAGGTCTAATGGGTTTCTGACTAAAATTCTGGACTCATTCCAATCATACTTCAACCAAATCTTTTTTTTCTTTTTTCCTGAGGAGTGTCAACCTTTTTCAGTTTCCTACTGACTGAAATTCTAAAAAGGTGTTAGTCTTAAGCTGCCGCCTGACTTTCAAAGCTGATTCAGGGGACTCTGTGGTGGTGCAAGGGTTTAAGCTGCAGCATTATTAAGATATCCTCAGCCACTGCTGCATGAATTTGATCCCCAGCAAGGGCGCTGACCCATATGGCACAGCAGACCTCTCCTGCTATACCCACTCAGCAATGGATTTCAGTACATTCACGTGTTCTGCTCCCCATTCTGTCTCTGGTGAATCCTCTTGCCATCCCTGCACCTCTGGCTTACACACCAGCTCTTGTATGCATAAATAAACAACTCTTTAAAAATATATAAATTGGGCCCTCCCTGGTGGCGCAGTGGGTTAAAGCACAGCACTGAGGAGCTAAAGCCACTTCAGCATGAGTTTGATCCCTGGCCCCGAAGGTAATCCACATGGTGTGGCAGATCTCTCCTGGCCAGCCTGCTACTCCCCTCAGCAGTGTGCTTCGTCAATCTGCCTGTTCTACTCCCCACTCTGTCTCTGGTGGATCTTCTCACCGCCCCTGCACCTCCAGTCTATACCCCAGCTCTGTATGCATAAATAAATAAATCTTTAAATATATACATATATATAAATAAATAAACAGGCAAATTTCATTACATATGCATCATAATTTAAGAGTTAGTAGTACAATATTTGAACCATTATTTCTTGAACTTGTAACAGTGTGGTCCCCAGGAAAAGGGGAGGTTCCAGGTTCCCCACCCCACCCAGAAGGAGGGTGGAGCTGAGCAGAAAAGAGAGGAATCTGGAGAGAAGACCAAAGAAGGAAGCAAGATGGAGAGCCAGAAGGAAACCTAAGGAAGCCACAAGGAGCAGAAGGAAACATGTGAAGAAACCATGCTTATTTCTCGGTCCTAGACTGGTTGAAACAGAAGCAGGTGAGAGACCTGTGTGGAGGAGGTTGACTATGGCAACTTTTGCTCTTTTCCTCCCAGACTTGTGTGGCGATGTCTGACCCTTTTCTATGGGTCCCAGTCAGAAGGTGCTTCAGGCTTGTGGAGGGCTTTCAGGCCTTGCTTTGGGCCAATACCCTTTTACCCACGAGGGGATGGGTAACTTTGGGTTTTTGATTTAGAAACTATATTCTTTGTCTTTTCTGTATTGCACACTCATTGTATTAAAGTTTCTTTCCATTAAAGCTCTTATGTCTTGTCTTGATGTGGCAGATGGCAGAACCTATTTAGAGCAGGCAGGTTTGGGGGTCCAGGGGTACCCCTCTCTCCCTGCCCTGTAACAAACTTTACACTGTCAACAAGTAAATTGTATGTGCTATGTGAATTTTAGCTCAATGAAGCTGTTTGAAAAATGCACACATGTCAGGCTTGTTAAGCTAAAGTTCTGAACCTAAATAAGCTGTAACATAGATCAGACTGTAAAACTGGAAAGCAGAAAAGTAAGAAATGTAATTCATCCCCCCAATACTTAACACAGGTCACTGAAACTATGCTGTTCTTCTGGAATGGGTGGAAGAGGAATAATGGGTGTCCTCTAGCAATAGTTTGTGCTTGGTAAATAGGTCCCTGAAGGGGAAATTGTTCGCTGGCTCAGTTTGCTTACTTATTATTATGGGAAAAGATAAATATATAGAAAAACAAATACAAAAATACAACCACAGAACTTCAACACTTAGCAACCAGTAGTCAGGCTAGGCTTGTTTCATCTATATTCCCCCAACTTCCTCCTATCCTTTATTAACTTGCAGCAAATACCACACAGCCTATCATTTCATTGGTAAATCAGTATCTCTCTCACATACTCTCTGTCTCTCTCTCACACACACAAAACCACAATTTAGAAATTAACTCCTGTGTCCAGCAATGGATGAATGGATAAACAAAACATGGTATATACATACAAATGAACAGTATTCAGCCTTTGTAAAGATGTTCTTAAGTTGAAAATTCTGATTCAAGCTACATGATTCAAACTTGAGGACCTTTGGTAAGTGAAATAAGCTAGTCATAAAAAAAAAATAATAACGGTGTGATCCCACTTATATGAGGTTCCTGGAGCAGTCAAACTCACAGACAGAAAGCAGACAGTACCAGGGAATGGGGGGAGGGAGAATGGAGAATCATTTAATTCTCTGGTTTATTTTGCAACAGGAAGAGCTCTGGTGACAGGCTGCACGATGCTATGAATGAACTTCACACTACCGCACTTGTACAATTAAAAATGGTTAAAGTGGGGCCTCCCTGGTGGTGCAGGGGTTAAAGATTCAGCCATATCAAGTTATTGCCAGCCAT